CCCCCCCCCCCCCCCCCCTACCCTCCGTCGTTGCATTCTCGCCCCCCCCCCCTGCAACAATCAAGGCAGGAGAGGCGGGATCCTTGGCTACCTCCCACAGTCGACGGAACAATAACGATTCCGCCTCATGCGTTCTTGCGGCAAAAAAAAAATAGCTGGCAGCAGCAGCAGCAGCAGGAAGACTGTTGTGTTCCTGCTGCCGACCAAACAAGAGGGCTTGCCCGACGCTCGTTGCAACGTCAGCGGCGCCACACGAGCCTCCGCTCTCCCCGCCCCACAACCAGCGAGGCTCAACAAGTGCCTCCAGCGAGCGTGCCACACAAACAGCGGTCGGCCTGCGAGTCAATTACCCTCAAGACACTGCAATGCATGGCAGCAGCAGCCCGGTTGATTTCACGGAGGCTAGTTACCATACCAAGTTTACCGGCCAGCGATAGCCTGGGCCTTGGGGGCAACCGAGGCTTGGTAGTCCATCTCGTATATCATTTGGCCCTGTCGCACACATTAAAGTTCATGTAACGAGGCGGGGGCAGGGGCAAGACTTGGGGACACTGCTGTGCTGGGGATCTGTAACATCTCCGAGGAGATGGATCACCTGCTGCCCCATCCGGGGGGCCTCTGCATTCTCAACATTTACATGGAATAAGCGCCTGGATACAAAAGGTTAGGTAGCACCGCTTCCCTTGGCTCTGTGCCTGGATAGTGGGTATCCGGTTCAGTCAACTATGTGATTCAGCGACCATAGAGAATGCCGCAAATTTTCGACCTCAGACCTGCGCATCCTTAAAAGGCTGGGATGGACAGAAACACGAATTTCTCGCTGATCGCGGCTTGTAAGGCACCGGGCCCGAAGTGCCATCATGTGTCGGGCGATTGATTCGATTGAATTTAAGGGCTATATACTGCTTTCGAAGAGTAGGGGGCCTTTGCGATCTTGCTTGGGCCCTGAGACTTTACGGTTATACCAATGTTAATTCTTACAAGCGTGGGTTGCGGTGTTTGCACCGTGCACTTCAGTGAGACAAAAACGTCAGATATCACGCGGTACAAAACGCAGCGCGGGGGCATTTCATTATTGTCTTCGCTCCGCTGCCCCTCCTCTCAATGTATACCCCTTACCGTCATGCAGCCGACGGTTGTCATGTATACGAGGTCGGCGATGAGGTCGATGATCCTAGCCAGCTCGCGGATCTCCTCGATGCAGATGGCGGCGATGTTGCAGATGCACGACAGAAGCTGCAGGAAATTGTTGAAGCGCTGAAAAACAAGCAACAAACGTTCAACCGCATACATACCAAGGGCAAGGGAGTCTTCAACAAACCTGGGAGCATCTGTTTAACAAGTGGGTGTGAACGGTACAAGTGCACCCGGGGGCCAGAGAGCAGGCAGGGAGCTTGGGAGATACTGCAATATAGGCTAATGCTAAAATAAAAGGGCGACTTCCCTCCAGACAGAGAACCCAGGAAATTGGACTCGAAGGAGTCGCCACCCTCCGGCAACAAAACACTTAAAGCATGCGCGGCCGGAGAAGCAAGGGATCACGGCCATTTTTCATCAGTATTCTATAGTACGGATTAGGGGGTGTCTTTGTCAAGGGTGCCCCCATTGAGGTGTCAGGTTCAGGGTTGATAAAGACAACAGTAGAGAGAGTCGAGGACCGCACGGGCGGAAGGGGGGGACTCAAGTTTCGCACGCCGTTGCTACGGGGGACTGTCTGTTGTGTACCGAGTGCCACAGAGCGACGACAATAGGTGCAAGGTGTGAATGTTGATGAACAGGAAAGAGGTGCGGTGCACGGTTTTGATCTCTCGCTAGACTGCCCCAACACGCAGCAGGGCGGTGCGTTGACTTCTCACTCTTATGTGCGCCGATAGAACAAAGAAATGCAAAGGGGTTACTTAGACAAGTACAGCCGTTGCCCCATCACTTGGCCTCTAAAAAACCAAAAAAATATGTACAAATATTAAAAAGCCTCCACGTATATCATCAATTTAATATCTTTCCGCTCTCTACGGAACTGTGTTAGCTCTGGGACGGGGCCACCGCAACAGAAGGACACGTCTTCGCCACTACGCAAAAGACAGCACCCAGTTCTGCCGACGGGCGGGGGGCTCCGCGGACTCACGATGATTCTGTTATCCCACGGGTCCGGCATTACCGAGAACTTGTCCATCAGGTACATCCTGCGCAAGCGACGATTCACATATGCATACAACCAAAGCGCGGGGACATGAGAGAGAGATTAGACAACAAGGAGTTAGGTTTCAAGCGGGTGAACTCATCTCAGTGAACAAAAATGTGTACATGCCTCGACAGGCATGGCCCCGCTCGAGGCTCGCAGACAGCTGCGGCGAAGCCCAGAATGCCTCAGCCAAGGCTGCGTGCACGCACACACACGTCCCAGCACGCCTGAGTGCAATAGATGACAGGCACACCCTAGCCGTGGCGATGTCGTGCGGGGGCAGGAGAACCTGCTTATGGGGCATTGACTGCTGTGCTGCTGAGCATTTCTTCAAATCTGCAACATCCGGTTGTACTTTTGGGGGAGATTTATGTGAGTGGTACGACGCGCGCCCGGGCGATACATATCCCTGGTGAAAAAAACGTCTGGGATACTCTGAACTGATG